CCCCATGACCAGCTCTTCTCCGTCTTCCACTCACCCTGCTTGTGTTCCCTCTCTCAATTTGTCTCTGTTAAATAAATAAAATCTTAAAAAAAAATAAAGTAAAAAATAAAATCTTTAAAAGAAATAAATAGGGGCACCTGGATGGCTCAGTCATTAAGCATCGGCTCAGGTCATGATCCCAGGATCTTGGGATGGAGCCCAGTGCCAGACTCCCTGTTCAGCACGGAATCTGCTTCCAGGGAGCCTGCTTCTCCCTCTCCCTCTGCCCTACCCCCCCCCCTCGTGCAGTCTCTCTCTCCCTTGTGCTCTCTATTGCAAATAAATAAATTTTTTAAAAATCTAGACGCTAGGGCGCCTGGGTGGCTCAGTGGGTTAAGCCTCTGCCTTCGGCTCAGGTCATGATCTCAGGTTCCTGGGATCGAGTCCCGCATCGGGCTCTCTGCTCAGCAGGGAGCCTGCTTCCCTCTCTCTCTCTCTCTCTCCCCGCCTGCCTCTCTGTCTACTTGTGATCTCTGTCTGTCAAATAAATAAATAAAATCTTTAAAAAAAAAAAAATCTAGACGCTAAAATTTTACTTGTTTTTTTTTAAAAATAGGCTCCACACCCAACATGGGGCTTGAACTCATGACCATGAGTTCCATGCTCTACCAGCTGAGCCAACCAGGTGCCCACTAAGATTTTACTTTTGATCAGGTTATATATTTCTGCAAGATTTAATTTTTTTTAAAAAATCAGTTATCCTTAGAGCAAAGGACAAAAATTAAAATAACATTTCCCTTTTCTCCCTTGTTGCTATGGGGCAATATAGAAAAGCAGGCCTAGAGGGGCGCCTGGGTGGCTCAGTGGATTAAAGCCTCTGCCTTCGGCTCAGATCATGATCCCAGGGTCCTGGGATCAAGCCCTGCATTGCATCAGGCTCTCTGCTCAGCGGGGAATCTGCCTCCTCCTCTCTCTCTGTCTGCCAAATAAATAAATAAAATCTTAAAAAAAAAAAAAAGCAGGCCTAGAGTTTATATGGTGCTTCATTGCACTTTCACTTCATTTTATTTTATTTTACTTTATTTATTTGTCAGAGGGAGAGCACAAGCAGGGGGAGTGGCAGGCAGATGACCCCAAATCATCTACAGACTGAGCCTCTGAGGCGCCCCTGTACTTTACTTTTTTAATTTGTTTATTTACTTATTTATTTGCACTCCTTATTCATTTCTTTTACAGTAGACTCCATGGAGCCCATCATTGGGCTTGAATTCATGACCCCAAGATCAAGACATGAGCTGCAATCAAGAGTCAGACACAACCAAGTGAGCCATACAGGCGCCCCTGCACTTTCAATATACCAATGCTAACAGTATTTTCCTTTTTTTTTTTTTTTTTAAAGATTTTTTTAAATTTACTTCACAGATCACAAGTAGGCAGAGAGGCAGGCAGAGAGAGAGAGGAGGAGGAGGTAGGCTCCCTGCTGAGCAGAGAGCCTGATGCGGGACTGGATCCCAGGACCCTGAGATCACGGCCTGAGCCAAAGGCAGAGGCTTTAACCACTGAGCCACCCAGGCGCCCCAACTAACAGTATTTTCTTAAGGAGGAATACAGATTCTGAAACTTACCTTAATGGGGTCTCAGGAGATCCCCTTTCCCAAAATAAATAGCAGAGAATTTGTCTCTCCTAGCAAAGGGATGGCCAGAGGGGGAGGGAAGCCACTAGTCAGCATTAAGAGCTATAAGGTTCCCACCATAAAGTCAGCATTTACAAAACTACAGACATGCTAGGCATTGTTCTTTCTAGTTTTATTTATTTATTTGTGGTAATCACTACACCCAGTGAGGGGGCTCAGACTTACAACCCAGAGATCAAGAGTCACATGCTCTTCCACCTGAGCCAGCCAGGCACCCTGGCATTGTTCTAAATCAAAACCCCCTTTATCAGATTAGAGGTCCTCCTGTTTTATCTACTCTTACACAATTGCATTCTTTCAGGGGTGCCGCCTCAAGAATTAAGGGGAAATTTAGATTTATCATCTGATTAGGGTATTCCCTATTTGTCATCTAAGGGAAACAAAAGTCGTATACAACCTTGGAAGCCAGCTCTCTGCCCTGCCTTGCCCTGCCCCCAGGCAGGCAGTCAGCCTGACGGGCTAGGCTCCTTGATGATTCCTTCCATTCTCTGGACTCTCAACACTGCCATGGGGCCCGTCAGAGGAGCAGGTTATCATTCCAAGGGGGGGGGAGGCATCACAAGAACTCAACTGCTCACTGCCCTGGGGGTGGAAGCTTCAATAAAACTAACACCTTAGGGACCTCAAGAGTCATAGCCAATGACCATAACCACTGGAAGCAGTTTCCTGGATATTCTCCTTGAGTTGTAGAATAGAAGGAAAGGCCTTCCGAAGGTTTCACCTGAACTAAGGAGCACTGAGGTGTCCCTTCGGGCTGTTCTGCCAACCTCCCTGATTTGAACATCCCAAACCCAACCTGAAGACTGCATTTCCAGCCTTCTTTTCTATAGGCCCAGAATTCAACAAGGTAATTACATTATTTTATTTCCTTGCTGTCACACTGGGGTCTCTCTATATAATCCTCGTCACTATTATCATAAAATGCAAGGGCTTTCTCAGATCCCTTTCTATATAGCCTTTTAACTTGCTGTTGAAGTTGCTTTCTCTGGTCTACCCCTAAAGAGAGCCAGGAATTCAAAACAGATTGTTGCTAAAGGAACCTGAACATTTATCCTCCCTTATTCACAGTTTCTTAAACCTGTGTACAGATGTGCAAACCATGCACCTTGTCTTTTTAAAAATTTTTTTAATCTTAGGGGCACTTGGGTGGCTCAGTGGGTTAAGCCTCTGCCTTCAGCTCAGGTCATGATCTCAGGGTCCTGGGATCAAGCCCCGCATTGGGCTCTCTGCTCAGCAGGGAGCCTGCTTCTCCCCCTCTCTGCCTGCCTCTCTGCCTACTTGTGATCTCTCTCTCTCTGTCAAATAAATAAATAAAATCTTAAAAAATTTTTTTTAAATTTTGAAGATTTTATTTATTTATTTGATAGACAAGTAGGCAGAGAGCCAGGCAGAGAGAGAGAGAGAGGAGGAAGCGGGCTCCCTACTGAGCAGAGAGCCTGATGTGGGGCCTGGGATCATGACCTGAGCCCAAGGCAGAGGCTTTAACCCACTGAGCCACCCAGGTGCCCCGAGATTTTATTTATTCATTTGAGAGAGACAGAGTGAGAGAGTATGAGCTGGGGGCGGGGGGTGGGTGGGCAGAGGGAGAAGCAGACTCCCCACTGAGCAGGGAGCCTGATGCACAGCTCAATACTATAACCTACTCCAATGTAAGGAAACCGGTGACTTCTAGGAATTTCAACATAGTGAAGAAATTAACTGGTGAAGGGTCTCACATTTCATTACAAATCTCCCAATGAAGGAATAGATATGGAAAATAAGAAAACATAGTTGAGAATCCAGAAACTTGAGACCCAGTTCTAGCTCTATTACTGACCAGATGTGTGACCTTGGGCAAGTTACCTAACTGAGCTGGGCCCCAGTTCCCTTACCACACAAGAAATGAAGCATCTTGGACTACATGCATTCTGAGGTACTCTACAAGTTGCAGGATTCTGAGATTCAACATATAAAACAGAAATGCTAAATTAGGGGATAATTAAGTTAGAGAAGGTACCCTGGCTTTACCACTAACTGAACTGACTTTGCTCTCTTTAGGCAACTCTCTTGACTTTTTAAGTGAAAGGAAGTGGTCCTAGGACACCTGGGTGGGTTGCTCAGTTGGTTAAGCGTTTGCCTTCAACTCACGTCTGTGCCTGGGATCAAGCCCTGCCTTGGCTCCCTGCTTAGCCAGGAGCCTTCTTTCCCTCTCCCTCTGCTGCTTGTGCTTGTGCATACATTCTCTCTCTCTGTTAAATAAATAAATAAAATCTTAAAAGAAACAAAGTGGTCTCTTTATTTAAGCAGTAGAGTTCTTAGACTGAAGTTACTCCTTCTCTTAAAGAAATGACTTCTGAGGAATTCTGCTTCCTCACTTATGAGATGAAGGGGTGAGCTACATTGCCCCAAAGATTCTGTTTAATTCTAGAATGCTATGATCCATACTGGATTTACCACAGGGGACTAATTGATTGATTGAAGTGAGCTCTACACCCAATGTGGGGCTTGAACTCATGACCCTAAGATCAAAAGAGTCCTCTGAAATCAAGAGTCACATTGTCCACCGACTGAGCCGGTCATGTGGCCCACCACAGCGGATTTTAAAATTAAAATTCTTTAGGGGACACCTGGGTGGCTCAGTTGGTTAAGTGTCTTGACTCTTGGTTTCAACTCAGGTCATGATCTCATGGTCAGGGGATCGAGCCCCGCATCTGGCTCTATACTGAGCTGAACACAGAGCCTGCTTAGGATTTTCTCTCTTCCCCTCTGCCCCTCCCCCCTGGCTCATGCGCTCTCTCTCATTAAATAGATAAATATTTTTAAAAATGAAATTAAATCCTTTAGTATGTTTTAAGTGGTTCAATTTACAAAGAATCCAGAGGGCACACAATTCCTCAAGAATTTATTTAACACATGAAGTGAGCCCTACCAGGCCTGAAGGCCAGCAAGGACCTCCCACTTAGTCACAAACTCCAAGCACTATTTGTGTGGTTGCCCCAAACCTCAACTTCATCATCTACGCACAGTCACTTTGCCAGTAGAGACACGTAAAAGATAAAGAAAACACAATCATTGTCCTCAAAGTAAGGTGTAGGCTTGAGCCCAATGAATATACAAGATATAAAACACATAAAAAGACATAAAATTGACTGAGCAATTCACCAAAAAGTAAAAGTTAATAGTTACCGTCATACATAAATATGCAAAGAACAGACTGATGTGGGTTAATCACAGGAAGCTTTATGCAGAAGAATCTTTAAGAACCAAGTTTTCAAAAGCAGAGGGAATCCAGACAGGCTGAGAAGAGACCGGAAGCCTGGAATGGGATTCTGAATCAAGGCTCTTTACCTTCCAAGTGTTGGGGGGTAGGTTCCCTGTTCACAAGGCTCCAACCCCCTGAGGCCTCCACTCAGTGCCACTCAGGAGACGCTCCCAGTAACCCATCTTGTTGGCTATTGTCCGACTGAGTCTTCCTTCCTAGTAACAAGCTCCATCGCCAAGGGGATGGATGTGATGTCACAATCAGGAGCACTCTATTAATAGGAACAAGGAAGAAAAAGGTGAGTCAGGGGAACTACCTCCACCTGGCAGTGAAACTAGACAGACCTGGATCTGGCAGTTGGCTGAGGAGGATGAGATGATTCCATTAAGGGCAATAGGTTGCAGGGCTGGGGACATAGGACTGCCTTCTAAAGATGGAGAGCACTGGCTAAGGAATCACATACACAGTCCAGGAGAGTCAAACATAGCTGAGAGAGACAGAGGAAGGAACAAGAAAAAAGGTAAAGAGCTATTTGAGACAGAAAAAGATTCTCTTATTCAGTGCACACAACCACGAGTAATGTCAACGCTTCCAGATCTGTGGCTATATGATGCAGAGATCAGTGACAGCTTACATGCACAGTACGATGCTTTCCTGTTTCCCAAAGGCTTTTCACAGAAATTACTGAAGTCATGTAAAAACAATTCTAATCCCATCCTCCAACTGGAAAATACTATTTCATAAGGAGAAGATACTCAAGAATCCCTGCAGGTGTGATTCTACTTCCCAAATCAGAAAATATTCCTGAGGGGATTAGCCTTTAAAAAAGCAGCAGCAGCAGTAGTGAAATGGGCAATTACTCCCAAGTGGACAACCGGGAGGATCAGAGGTATGATTAGACTGACTAAGAATGGGACCAAGTAAAGGGGGACAAGGCTTCAGATGAAGGGTGCTGTGAGATCTACTCACTACTACACAGGAAAGAAGTAAATATTGAAACTCCTTTCTTCCCCATCACATGGCTATCAACAGATTAAGGGCTGTGTTACAAAGCAACAGGATGATAATTTTTGCACATAAAACTGAGACCATTTCATCTTGAGTCCAGTACACACGCTCATTGGTTTACAATGCTCATCAGCCACAACACGTTTAGTGTAATATTTTTAAATGAACCAGAGAGATAAAGGTGCAATGTCAGACACACTTTCTCTTTCGGGGGTAGTGAGGAAGCTGTTTCTCCCTCATCCATATCACAAAGCAGAATATAATGCTGTTTGCATTTTGACACACCCTATTTCCCAACAACCTGGCACAGGCACCTCTACCTCACGAAATGCTTCCAGGAACCACTGTTACTGGTTATGTTCAGTCTTCTAATGACAAGCTCCAGACTCAGAATCTTGCCCATGCTGGGATGTTCCCTTAGCCAGAAGAAACCAGGATTTTTTCAACTGAGAGGAGGACCAGGAGTCAGGAAACTTGGGTTCTGGTCCCAGGCCTGCCAACTGTAGGACTTTAAACAAGCCATATATCTCTTCCATAGCTTCAATGTCTTCACCTGACAAGTAGGGAAGATACCTGCCTTTATCTACCTTATATGTTGTCCTGGAAAATCAAAGACATAATAAATGTGAAAACATACTGAATACAGCTATGTTTCAGGTAAGATATTTGTAGTAAAAGAACGTAAAATAAATTTATAATACTGAAGGCTAGTGAGGAAATGCTCGAAAAGGAGCTTGTTCCTTTTCAATTACAGGGAAAGAGGCCCAGACACAGTCAGCTGGACACACAGAGTAGTAACATGATCACATCACTCAGATTCCCTACCACTAGTCTACCCCATTCCCACCTGGGGGAAAACTAACAACCAGCAACACTACCAGCTTCTTGCCCTATTATCAGACTCTAAAAGCACCTGTTTAGGAAGTGGTCAAACTATCACTATCACAGCCCAGGCCCCATGAACAGTGTGGCTCCTTCAACAGCCACGGATGCTATTAGGGAGAATGAACTCAGTTTCTGAATGGGGAAGATGTCTGTGAGCCCCTTGGGCAAAACACTCTGACCTCTCAGCTTTCTGCTCCTTCTCCAGCCCCCTCCTCCCCATTCCCAATTCCGCAGAGTTCTGGGTTGGGGAAGGCTTTCCGTGTGTGAAGCCTGCGAAAGGGCCTGGCTCTGCAAAGCCAGGGAAGGGATGTAAGGAATGTGAGATTCCTTCAAGGAGGGGTGAGAGGGGGAGGGGGAAAAGGAATGGAGGAGGAAGACAAGGCTGCCAAAGACAAGGCACGGGAGAGGAGCCAAGCTATGGCGCTTCGAGGGCGGGGGTTCAGATTCCGCCGCCCCTGCCCAGGCTAGCCCCCAGAATGTTCCCTCCCTCCTCTCCCTGCCCGTCGTCACTGCCCATTTAAACACCACGTTGTAACCCCAGGTCCCCTCCTTCCGGTCCTCCAGTCAGCGCAGACCCCCCTCCCGCACTTAGGACTCCCCTACTCCAATGCACCTTCCCAACAACCCACCCACCAGCGCCTCTTTCTCACCTCCGGACTCCTCCCTATTCCTGCTCTCTTCCTCCATTTTTCATCTTTACTCCTATCCCTTCTCCTGACCTCCAATACCTTGAACCCCCCCGCCCCAACCCCCGTGGGACATCACCCCCTCCCGCCCCACACCCTCTTTTAGGTGGAAGCCCGCGCCGGCGCAGTACGCACCGCCCTGGAAGCGGCCTGGACTCTCCGTAACCCGGCCCGACTGGAGCTGAGGCCGCAGCGGCCACAGGATAGCTCCGGTGCCGGGTCCCAGCCTATCCTGGGAGGGGAAGGAGAAGGAGAAGGTAGGTTCCAACCACTCGTCGCCCTGTGAGTCGGATCCCTTGCCCCGCCCACCGCTGCTACGCAACCCGGCGGAAGCTCGTCACCAAACCCCGCCTCTTTGTTTAACTCGAATCTAGACTAGAAGCCAAGAGCGACCAACGAGGAGAGAGGAGGGTTACCCGGGCTTCCCCTCAACACCGGAAATCTTTATGATCCCAACGAGGGCTATATAGCCATTTGGGAAGGAGAACTCTATGGTGTTCCCCGCGTGAATGTAGGGGGCGGAGCACGAGGCTGACTCCCTGCAGGTCTAGACTTCACTTTACTGGGGAATACGAGTCCGATCTCCTATGGGACGAGGTGCGAGATTATTGCGAGGCCAGCCTGTAGTGAGACTTAGCATCTCCTGTTTCCAGAGCGGTGGTCAGCATCCCGGTGCCTCCCGACCCTATGACTCATAGTCACGGGAGTAGATACTGTAGTCTACAGGGCGACCACTGGGTGGAGAGTGGAGTAGTGTCTAACCGCAAGGCTTTGATCTTGGGTGCCCAACGGGTTGCCTGCCTCTCTGCTAGCCGCACGCCTGCTGTATCTACGTTGGCTCTCCGGACACGACTAGAGTTCCATGAAACACCTAAGGGAAGGGGAGATAAGATGTCCCTCTTCCTATGTTATGCTCTGATTTCCTTAGGATACAACACTGTAGTTGGGGGTGTTGGGGGGAGAGAACCTGGGATCGGAGGAAAGTCAAAGCGGAGCCTAAAGCGCTCCAGAAGGTAAGGAAATAAGCCAAGACATTACAATTACATGACCTGTTAGGCTAATCTGATATTAAATAGTATTTGTTAAGGGGGCGCCTGGGTGGCTCAGTGGGTTAAGCCTCTGCCTTTGGCCCAGGTCATAATCTCAGGGTCCTCGGATTGAGCCCCGCATCGGGCTCTCTGCTTGGCGGGTAGCCTGCTTCCCCCTCTCCCTCTGCCTGCCTCTCTGCCTACTTGTGATCCCTCTCTCTCTCTGTCAAATAAATTTAAAAGAAAATCTTAAATACTATTTGTTATGGATAGTCGGTAAACAAATGGTTGTGGTTTGTATATATATGTAACTGGCTGTACACATTACAGAACTAGAACCTTTTGTTGAGTTTCTAACAAGTCCCAGGGGGAACTAAAGGTTCGGGCCTCCTCCGTTAAAGCCTCTGAGAGCAGGGGAGACCCTGGGATCTAGAGAGATAAGTGCATTAGGAAGAGGTACCTTTCACACTCTTAGAGGGACTAATGCAAATGCTGTTCTGTGCCCTGGGTTCCGTTCTTTCAAAAAGGGTGAGTCAGCCTCTAGTGTGAAGGCTACTTTTTCCAAAACCCTGACGAAGCAGGCTGTATAGCGCATTAAAGATGGGGACCCCAAATCAGGAATAAAGATGAGGGTTATAGCAGTGGGAGAAGAAACTGTGCCTGCTATGTGCTAAGCACTGCTTTTTATATAACTTACGTTTTCTTGTATGCAAACCGGAATTACATAGTTAAGAACTGTCGATAAAATAAGTGAAGTGCTGAGCCTGTTTCAGACTTTTGTCCACTGTATTACAAAACCCCTGGTCCTTTTTCCAGGGCCACGTCTTAGAAATAAAGTCATGGAGACTAAGCGTAGTCTCTCAGTCAAGTAAGGAAAATTGGACCCCAGGCGCTCCCTGCTGGCCAATCTTTCTCGAGGCGCCAACCATCTGCGGGGCTCCTTTAACACATAAAATCCGCCCCTTTCGCGGCGCGTGAATCTTGGGTCCCGATTGGCTGAGTGGGGGCCGGCGGCGGGGCGCGGGGCGCGTCGGGACAGTGTTGATTGGCCGGAGGGAGGCCAGCCGGAAACTTCCGGGAATGTCCTCACTCCCGCGTTCCATCGGGCTGCATCCGGCGGCAGCGGAGCCTGTGGCTCCCCCTGCGGGCGGCTCTGCAGCGTGAGCGGTCCGGCCCGCTGGCTGGGTGGGTGGGCGGCGCTGGGTGGGTGGGCGGCGGTGGGTGGGGGGAGGAGGGGATGGACCGAGTCCTGGGTTGTCCGGATGAGGGTTCGGGAAGGTTTGGCGAGTAAGGTTGCATTCCTTGGATCTGCACCAGTTTCCCTACCCCCGTCTCCGTCAGCTCCCCGACGTCGGGGATTGAGACTGAAAGAGCATCCCGGGACGGGGCCTTCCGGCCTCGAAGCAGCCTATCCAGAGACCCTCAAATTCTGATCTTGAAGTTGGAGGCTCTTGGGGAAGTTCGTTTCTAAACTTTTAGAAGAATTAGAGGATTTGCGGCTGCCTGACCCCAGCCTAGTGTGGTAGGTAGGCCTTGGGAAGTGGAGCATGGGGGCGAAGTCTCCAAGCCTTGAGCCTTCATTACCCTTTACCTCTTCTAGTGTAGTGCGGAGGCTCGGACAGCATGACGACGGAGACCTTCGTGAAGGATATCAAGCCCGGGCTCAAGAATCTGAACCTCATCTTCATTGTGCTGGAGACAGGTGGCTATTCTGGGATGGTGGGCCCCCTGCGCGGTCTCTCTGGGTTGCGGGGAGGGGGCAGTGGGGGGAATACCATCTCCGCACTTAACTAGCTACCGGGATGTCAGGGCACACCCCAAGAAATTGCTCACACCTAACCTCTCCTAGATCCTGGCCTGGAGAGTTGTAGTCGCGTGTAGGGTAGATGGAACTCTCCGGATCCAAGCCTCCAGCACCACTTGGGCCTCTTTCCACTAGCGCCCCTCTCCATGGTGCTGTCCCTCCACTCCCCCCTCACCCCACCAGTATCTAGATCTCATCCCTCTGATCATCTATTCCTCCCACCCACCCCACCATTTATCTGTTCCCTGCAGGTCGAGTGACCAAGACAAAGGACGGGCACGAGGTTCGGACCTGCAAAGTGGCAGACAAAACAGGCAGCATCAATATCTCTGTCTGGGACGACGTGGGTAACCTGATCCAGCCTGGAGACATTATTCGGCTCACCAAAGGGTAATTCCTGGTTACTCCTGGTTATCCACGGGCAATAACAGCTAAGGTGGGGGTTGGGGGGGTTAAGAGTTAACAGCCCTTGTAACTTTTATGAGTATTCCAAATCTTACTTTTTTGTGCCCTCACAGGTACGCTTCAGTGTTCAAAGGTTGTCTGACACTATACACTGGACGTGGGGGTGATCTTCAGAAGATTGGAGAGTAAGTGTCTTGGGGATTGAGATGTAGAAGCACCAGGTCAAGGGGGTAAGTTTAAGCTTTGCACAGAGGCAGCATATGGTTATAGAGTCCATGTTTCATATCTGGACCTTTCTGAGGCCTCCAGCAGTGGCCCAGAGACTGGGTCCGAGGCTTTAGCCAACTTCTCTCCTTGCAGATTCTGTATGGTATATTCTGAGGTTCCTAACTTCAGTGAGCCAAACCCAGAGTACAGTGCCCAGCAGGCACCCAACAAGGCGGTGAGTTCCATGGCCTTGAGACAGGGAAGGAGGGCAGGTCAGTCCCAGGAGTATGGGGGGCGGGGGTGGAGGGCAAGGTCTGAGTATTTAATTTGTGCCTTTAGGTGCAGAACGACAGCAGCCCTCCGGCCCCCCAGCCTACCACCGGACCCCCTGCCGTTTCTCCAGGTACACCTCTTTCCTCCCAGCCGCTGGTTCTTTTAGCTCCTCTTCTCTCCCCAGCCTGGAAAGATGAATTGCCTTCATCCCTTTCCCCAATTTCTTTTCTCTCAGTGTGTTCCCTTCCAGCCAGTCCTTCCTCCCAGTTCTTTTGCAAGTCCTTGTGGGGAAAAGATTTGGGGACCTGTTTCTGTCACTGCTAGAGCTCTGGGACTCTTGTGCCACTAGCACTCAAGGACACCAGTGAGAACAGTATCTCAGCAAATATTGCACTCCTTCCTTGGAGCTTGTTTCTTTCTGCTTCTTTGGCGGGTCCTTGCCCTTTTCCCCTTGCCCTTTCAGTTCATTCCACGGTTCTGACATGGATGCAGAGGACTTAACATGGAGTCCACACTGTACAGCTTTAGAGCACCAAGGAGTTTCCTTTTAGGGTCATCACTCTTCTTGAAACTAAAGACCTTTCTTGTATGCCTTGGACCTCAGTGTTAAGATTTCATCTCCTATACTTCAAGCCCTGCTTTTTCATTTCTTGCTTTTGATTAGAATCACTCACCAACATCATCTCCTTCATCCCTTCACTTTTCCTTAGGAACTGGATTTTTACTGCTCTTTTTCTCCATCTGGGTTCTTTCCCAGCTGACCCCAGCACTCCCTGGGATTTGGCTCTCTCTTACCTCTGATCGGTGCCTTAGGTTTTTGCATATGAAACGAGGCTTCGGGGTTGCTTCTGCCCTTCCTCAGTCTGTGCCTATATCCCCAGTTGCTATAGTTCTCAGAATTGTTTTCGTCAGAACCACCAGGGTCAGGGGGTTTCTTGGATACATCATGAAATAACATTTAATTCCACCACAAAAAATCAGCATCCATGTTTTTTTTTCTTTTCTTTTTCTTTCTTTCTTTCTTTTTTTTTTTTTTAAGATATTCTTTTTTTATCAGAGGGCAGAGGGAGAGAGCACAAGCCGGCAGCAGGGGGGATGGGGGGGATGGGCGAGGTAGGCGGCAGGCAGGGGGAAAAGAGCAGGCTCCCTGCCAGCAAGGAGCCCAATGTGGGACTCAATCCCAGGACCCTGGGAATTACAACCTGAGCTGAAGGCAGACACTTAACCAACTGAGCCACCCAGGCGTCCCAACATCCATGTTTTCAATGGGAAATATGACTGTTATATATTTCCAGGTTTCCCTAACTCCGTAATTTGTAAAAAGTATTTTAAATAAGATACATGTTAGCCTCTTGGCCCCTCATATATACCTGCCAGATGTTTATTCACTTGGTGACCTGACAGGTAAAAAAGGCTTAACAAAAAAAACAAAAAAATGTGGATGGCATAAAAACTTAACAGAAAAGCTTTCTATATCCTCTTCTAACATTTTTTGTGTATTGAGCAAAAGGCATTATATTTTTCTGTTTCGGCTGTCTTGGTGTGGAGCAACCGGGTCTCAGCAAGGATGTGGTTGGAGAACTGCTAGCCTATGACTTCTGTCCCGTTTAGGGGTCATAGTGCCCTCTACATATGAGAGGCAGGCCTGTGTCTTCACTTAACAAGCATGTCTAGAGGAGAAAGCCAGGAATAAAACACAGCGCCTGCCTTTAGGAGCCTGTAGCTTATGAAGGAGATAGTCGAACACAGAGTCACACTGTGGGTATGGCAAGGTTAGTAAGATACACCTTTGCAGGCGCTCAGGGAAATCATCTCACACGCCTGGCTCCCATCAGACATGTAAGCTACCCACAAAAATGTTACTTATTATTTGGGGGGGGGGGTGAGTAATAATTGTTTTGCTCACTCTTAGCTACATTTTGTGATACCCACCACTTTTTTTTTTTTTTTTTTTTTTTTTTTTTAAAGATCCTTCTTGTATTTTAACACAGAAACTTCGGGCCCTTCCCCTACCCATGCTTCTCTGGTTTTACAAAGACTTTTGATAAAGGGGCATTCTTGTCAGACATCCTTGAATCTAGAACTAAACAGCGAATTCTAGGTCTGACCTCCCTGATACATAGACGAATAAAAGAGAAAAATATCACACTGGGGCTCACATAGCAACTTCTCTGGGGCTCCGTTCATACAACCTCCACTTGCTTGGTCCTATCGGGCAGGAGTGCACAGCTGTGCTTGATGAAGACTGGGTTCGTCTCTGGGACCTGCAGCAGGGCCTCGGGGACGCACCGCTCTCCTTAGTTCTCTAATTCCTGTATTTCTTCCCCTTCTCCCACTGCTAGCCTCTGAGAACCAGAACGGGAATGGACTGAGTGCCCCACCAGGTCCTGGTGGTGGCCCGCACCCCCCTCACGCACCCTCGCATCCCCCTAGCACCCGAATTACCCGAAGCCAGCCCAACCACACACCTGCCGGCCCTCCCGGCCCCTCCAGCAGCCCTGTCAGTAACGGCAAAGAAACCCGGAGGAGCAGCAAGAGATAGCAAGACTTTCTTCCTCCCTTCCCACCACCCACCAGAACCCCAGCATCTCGAGCACCCAGCCTCCTTCTAGAGTACTGGCTTTGGTGGGGTGGGGTGGGTAGGTAGTAGTATTTTAGCCACTAAATTTCATTAGAGGGGTGTGGTGAGCAGCGGACTTACCCACCCTAAGCCCATACTCCCTGCCTTGCCCAGCTGGGATTCAAGCCCCCTGCCCACCCTCCATCCTCTTAGAAGCAAGTCACAGTCTGTTTCTGGTGTGTGTGATGTGGAAGACAAATTGAATCTCTCCTTCCTAATAAACGTTACCACTCTGTACTGGACTCCTTTGTTCTTTGTGGGAAAATGAAGAGGTTAGCAGTCAGATATTTGGCAAAATGGGCTATCCCTAGGAGGTGGGAGGAAGACTGGTTACAGGTAAGGAGGTCTAGGCAAAGCGGGCCTGCCCCTTTAAGGTAGTTCCCTCCCCCGCCCCCCCCCCCCGCCCCACAGGTGACCCTTGCTCGCCAGCCTGCCTGCTTACCCCCCCACAGCTGGAACCAAGAAGGCTGTGTCCCCCTTCTTCTGGGCGTCCTTCCAGTCCTGCTGTCAGGTAACGCCAACCTCAACCCCCTAGGCAATTGCCCTAATCAGACTGCTCCCCTGATCTTAAGCCAGGTCAGACATCTGAGGGGAGCCCAGTTATTTCTTCCCTCTTTCCACCAGAGCGTCCCCCTTCTTGGTCACTGATTCCCAGAGCTCTGGCTCTTACTCTGCTGGGACAAGGAGTTGCTAAGTATGCTTTCTTCCCCACGCCCCTGGGGTTGCCACTTATCTGCCTCTTTACCCCCTTACCAGCCGAGGAACACCCAGATCCCACTTTCCCAGGGAATGTGGGGAATGGGGTTGGAAATGAAGGACTCCCAGTACTAGATGTAAGGTGGGGTGTGGTGAGAGGATATACAGGGGGAAAGGCTGAAATGGTACCAAGTGGGTTAGTGGGGTGAATTATTTAGAAGAAAATGCCAGGCTCGGGTTTTTCTTAGACACGTGGCTTTTCCAGGGTCAGAGGGTGGCCCCTCCCTACTCAGGGGCCCAGCCAAGACTGACCTTTGACCCCCACCCCAGAGACCAGTGAACCATTAACTCCTCTCTGAGGTGAGCCTTCCCACACTGGCTCCTCCCCTCCCAGACCCCGCCCCAAGGCAGGTGGGCTAGGAGCCGGGAGGGGGGGTGTCCATCCCAGCATTCCATCTGACGTGGCCTCCATTCCACCTGACCGCCTGGAGGCTGAGCCCCGCTCCCTTTCCCGACACAGGAACATCTTAACGTCCACAGTAAAGCCTGCCCAGGACCAGAGGTAACGGCTCTCACACTGCTAACGAGGGTGAGGCCCTGTGGTTTGAGGGGAGATGGAGAGGTGGGGCAGGATTGAAGGGTGGGGTTTTGGGGACAGGATGGGCCGTCAGCTCTGGATCAGGTGAAGGAGGCACTCTGGGTCAAGGAAGGTGTTCTGGGAATTGGCAAATAAGAGGCTGCTCCAGAAGTAGGCAATGGGGAGGGAGAAAGGAGGCTAGAATGGGGGCTGCAGCTAGGTTCTAGGCAGGGCGGTACAGGGACTGAGGAATCCCCAGGCCTGAGCTGGACAGCAGAGCAGAAGCCCAGGCCTTTCCTCCTCGTTCTTCCAGGTCACAGTCCTCAGGATGTTCCAAGGGGAATAGAAGCCCGAAGCTGAGCCTCTAGCCCGTTCCCCCCAATAATGGGGTCCCCAAGGAGTCATCTGGTGGCTGGCCTGTGTGTGTGGATGACCTTGGGCTGGGTAGGGGGCTCAGCCCCCAACCTGGGCCCTGCTGAGCAGGAGCAGAACCATTACCTGGCCCAGCTGTTTGGCCTGTATGGAGAGAACGGGACACTGACCGCGGGGGGCCTAGCACGGCTTCTCCACAGCCTGGGGCTAGGCCGAGTTCAAGCCCTTCGGCTGGGACACCACGGGCCTCCAGCTGGTCGGGCTGCACCCCCAGCTGGAGACAATTCCACGCACAGGTACTAACCCCTTCCCCCACCCCAAAATACCACATCCCCCGCTCTTCCCAGGGCTTGCATCAGTCTCCAGTTGCCTAGCTCTGGCTTCCTAAAATCAGATTCCTGGAATTACAAATTTTTCAAAACCTGACTCCCTGTATTCCTTCATGGCCCCCTTTGCCTCTACTGCCTTTTAATTCTCCCCTCTTCCAAATCCCTGGGTTTCAACTCCTTGCTCTTAGTCCCAGTGCTCAATGCCTCCAGGCTGACTTGGTTCCCAATCTGTAGCATTTTCAGATGTGAGGTGGGCTGCCCCCCACCTCACATCAATTTCTCTCACTCTCACGCCCCCATTCTTATTCTTAGACCCTCCTATAAATCAACAATTCTCAGATCCTCCTAGAACTGACATTCCACGGTTTCTGGGTCCCAGGAACTCCAGCTAGTGGCTGTACCCTCCTTTCCCCCTTAAGCACCCTACGATCCTCAAGGGGGAGTGTCTTTCTTCCTTTTTTTTTTTTTTAAATTTTTAAAGATTTTATTTATTTATTTGACAGAGAGAGAGAGACAGATCACAAGTGGGCAGAGAGGCAAACAGAGAGGGGGAAGCAAGCTCCCTGCTGAGCAGAGAGCCTGATGTGGGGCTTGATCCCAGGACCCTGAGATCATGACCTGAGCCAAAGGCAGAGGCTTAACCCATTGAGCCACCCAGGCGCCCCTCTTTCTTCTTTTTTAAAGATTTATTTATTTGAGAGACAGAGAACAGGGGGAAGGGGCAGAGAGAGTCTTAAGTAGATTCCACACTGAGCTCAGAGCCTGACTAAGGGCTTGATTTCAGGGCTCGATTTCATGACACTGAGATCATGACCTGAGTTGAAACCAAGAGTCCAATGCTTAACAAACTACACCACCCAGGCACCCCTGAAGGGCAGTTTCTTAAAGAACATGAGCTAGTCTGACTTGCTATCTCATCCATTCCAGATCACAGGACCCTGAGCTGAGTGTGGATGTCTGGGCAGGGCTGCCTTTGGGTCCCTCGGGATGGGGTGACCCAGAGAAGCCAAAGGCCCCAGCATCCCCCCATGGGCCAGCACCCTCGGGCCTGGACCTCTTTCACAGGCTTCTGTTGTTGGACCATTCACTGGCTGACCATCTGAATGAGGATGTAAGTCTGGTGATATCTAGGTACAGGGTAAGGACCATGGGCTTTAGATGGCCTAAAGGGTTTAAAGAGTTATTTTTAAAAAGGTTTTATTTATTAGAGAGAGAGAGTGCATGCACAAGAGACAGAGAGAGAGCAGGGGCTGGGGGAGAGAGAAGCAGACTCACCGGTGAGCAAGGAACCCTACGCAGGGTTTGATCCCAGGACCCTGGGATCATAACCTGAGCCAAAGGCAGCCACTTAACAGACCGGGCCACCCAGGTGCCCCTTAAGAGTAATTTCATGCAGTTAATTTAAAAAATAAACAAATCCAGGTGTGATCTTAGGGTATGTTATTCCAATAGTGAAATACGGTTCCTCGGCTCAGCACCCATGAGCCCACACCAAAATCTCCCAGACCTGGCTTAGGGACCACACTGGGCAAAGCAGAGAATCCAGAGAAACAGCCCAGGGTAGAATTTGAGGCTGGCTCTCCGGAGAGGAAACCTGCAGGGAGAGGAAGGCTTTCTTCAGCCAGAAAGTGAGCTTGTTTTACACACACCAGAGGGCAGTGAAAGCGTGCCTGGTGAGGGTGAGCACCCTATCACAGGGGGCATTCAAGCCAAGGCTGGATGAACATGTGACAGGGCTGTTGCAAGGAAGGTTGGATGGCTTTTCAAGTTCTGGCGCTCCTAAGATTCTGCAACAGAGGGCTCTGGCCATCCAACCAACTCCATCACCAAGTCAACGAAGTCATCCGGGGCTTGGGAGGGAGGGAGATGGTGGCATTGTTTATTGGCACCCAATCTGTACTGAGTTGAACGTTTGCACTGGGCTGGACATTCACTAATAGTTAATACCTACTGATCATACAGAACTATCCCTGGTCCCTGATGCACCCGCCGGGGTGAGCAAAGGGGACCCTGGAGAGACCCAGGAGTCCATGCAATGGAAGGACAGACATTAAAGATCTGAGTCACCGTTCTCAGCGGTGCCCCAGTGTGTGACCTCCAACTCAACTCCCCTAGTGTCTGAATGGCTCCCAGCTGCTGGTCAATTTTGGCCTGAGCCCCGCTGCTCCTCTGACCCCACATCAGTTTGCTCTGCTGTGTCCAGCTCTGCTTTATCAGATCGACAGTCGTGTCTGCATCCAGGCCCCAACCCCAAGTCCCCCAGGGGATCTTCTGTCTGGTCAGTGAGAGTGGGTGGCAGGGCTCCGTGAATCCTGGCACAGAGTGGGCCCTTAGCCAAGCAAGGGGGTTCACTGGGGGTGCTGCCTCCCCTTGCAGGGTATCCCTGCCCCACCTTGCTTCCGAGGTCCTCCCTCTACCCCTAGCCTAACTTCAGTCCCTGTTTCTCCCCAGCCCTGGTTCATAGCGCCCTGGCAGTCCTGCTGCTCAGCCTCCCTGCCCCCCTCTCCCTGCTCCTGCTGCGGCTCCTGGGACCACGTCTGTTGCGGCCCCTGCTAGGCTTCCTGGGGGCCCTGGCCGTGGGCACACTTTGTGGGGACGCGGTGCTTCACCTGCTGCCACATGTATGTGAAGCCCCCTCCGGGTACCCAAGGGCTTCCCTCCCCCTTCTTGTCAGCTCCCGAGCTCCACGCCCAGCCCCAGGCTGCAGCCCACAGCTGCCTTCTGATAGAAAATGAATGAAGGCTTGCAGCCTCCCTCACACGAGGGAGATGTTGTAGGTGCACGGGCTTCTGGGGTCTGCCCTGAACCCCCTCTCTGGCAGGCACAAGGGGGGCAGCATGCTGGACCTAGCGGACGACCAGAGGAGGACCTGGGACCAGGACTGTCAGTACTTGGAGGTCTCTTCCTGCTCTTTGTGCTGGAAAACATGCTAGGGCTTTTGCGGCGTCGAGGGTTCAGGCCAGTGAGTGATACTCTTTTCTCCTCCTTCCACCAAACCCAGAATTCTGGCCAACACCAGCCAGGTGAGGCGCCGAGGGTGCTCCTGGCGCTCTTGATATTTGCCTGAGGGTGCAGGACCTGACAGCTAATGGGGTGGGTTGGGGCCCCTCAGCACAAACCCAGGATTTCTGGCCAAAG